TGCTCCTTTAACTCACTTCTTGCCAGCAGAAAAACCTCTCTGCTGCAGCTTTATTATGGAAGGGATTTCCTGAGGCATAGGCAGATTATGGATCTGGCTCAACACATAATCTTAATCTCCAAAAACAGATTTGGAACAGATGCCTGAATTGGGCTCTCTGCCTTCTCCCTCTCATTTTTTATTTTTTTTTTAAATCTTTTTGACTGTTCTTAGCCCAGAAACCATAGAGGGAAATCTGGTGTACCTTCGCACATTCGATTTGAACCAGATGTACTCTCTGTCTGTAGCTTTACCGAAGGCGTTGCCAGCAGGGACACAGGAGGAACACTATACTTGTGGTGAGTATTTTTAAGTAACTCGCTTATTTCAAATTCATCTTCCAAGCAAGTCACTAAGGTGTACACCACTGGTTCATTAGCCTCTGCAGCTATCAAGGCCTTTCCAAAGAGGAACTCAGCAACGTGCAGACGACAAGCACGAGGTAGATTCTCATCGGTGGAATAAAATGCCACAAGAGGTGCCTGAAGTGGATATTTGTTTTCTTCAGGAAATCTTACTTCAAGTTCATATATGGGACCATCACCATTAGGTCTGAGATGAGAATCATCTACAGAGTTCCTGGCTGGTTTTAGTGGGTGTTTTGGAGGGAATTCATGTCCAAATCTGCATTTTGAACCAAACCTGCAGCCTCCTTGGAGATAAAATTTACATATTTCCTTTGAAGTCTGCTTTGCTGTGTCCCTACTACAACCATCCTTTTGTTTAGATTTGCTGAGCCTGTTTGCTAGGTAGCCCAATTCCAAACTAAAAGTCCAAACACGGTTTTGAATTCTTTCTACAAATTTTTCTCCATAGATTGACCGGAGGGCAAAAGCCTCTTCTTGTCTCTGTTCTAAACATTCTTCTTGACTGGCTTCAGCAGCTGCTGAAGAAACTTGCATCTTCTCTCCGTATCTTTCAGTAAAGCACTGCCACAGCAAATACTCCAAGGATGCCCCAATATTACCATTGCAGGATCTCAGCACTGTCCTACAATGCTCAATGTCAAAACCGTACCTGCAACAAAACAGAGACAACATGGCAATAGGTGAGTGATAGAGACTTGCATGAAGCAAAATAACCACAGATCTGCTTGATCAGGCTTACAATAAGGAAGCATGCACGGCATGAGATACTATCACTACTACTGGGGGAAAAAAACCCACACCAAAATATTTATGCCACTTCAAATGAGAGTGGCAGGCAGCAATGTGCTGTCTGTGAATGCCAGTCTGTTGTTTATAAGGTGACAAATTAGTTTATGTAGCAACTATCTCACACCTCAGAATGCAGCACATAATAGTGACAAGATTTTAATTTCCCAGTTGAACTATATAAATTAAACTCTTCAGAGTCCTCTCGATATGAAACACTCTTGAAGAAAGCAAAAATATTTAATAAATGCTCATATCTGAGCAAAATGGATGAAGAACACTTACAGGGTTTTGAAACATTACCTACCTGGAAGAAACATACATATAACACCAGTGCCCCCTGAGCTTTCCCAATACCTCTTTCACTGTCTTGGAGAAACTGAAAACTTCACTGAAAAAAAGGCTGGAGAGATTTATTTTCATAAAACCATTATTTTAAAGTCACCTAGTTGAGGATTACATTTGTAGGAGATACAAACTCATCAGTTCTGCACATAGAACTTCCCTGGAGTTAAGAAGTTGTCCAAGCGCTAAGAGCTCACAGTATCCAGACTGATGATTTACCCCTTCAGGATACAAATTACTTACCTGGAGAGTTTGTGCACAGCAAACGAAGACACTTCACTTTCCACAATTCTGTGCTCATCTGCCTCAGCAGATGACCTTGGTATTATGTCAGAAACTTCCTGATCTGTTGACCAGCACTGTTCATCATCAAGGCAATCAGGTTCATCATCTTCACCACAACCAGCTAATCTGACAAAAAGAGTTATCAAATTAAAATTATAAAAAAATACACTGTTGAGTAGACACAAAACTCTGCCTCTGCAGTTTCAAATCCTCCATTTAAATGGAGGATTCTGCTACCTCTTCCCTAGAGTTAATATTGTAGAAGAACAAAGCAGACTCAAAACCACAGGATTTGAGATCAAATTAAAAGTTAAGGGAAAAAAGAATACGGTTTTCATTTCTACCAGTGTGACTGTTAAAGCATGCTCATCTAGAAGAGCTAGAAGTAGTGCCTCTGTTTAAACTAACTCTGATTCGGGAGCCAGCTCCTGTCCTTGAAGCTCTTGAAGAAGTTCTTTCACTCTTCTCTGATTCTCCGATGTCATGTGTATGGTCTGCAGAGGCATTCTAGCTTCAGGTCTCTGTTTCATTTGCCCTTCTCTTCTGGCAGGCGCATTTGATCTAAAAATTAAAATAGAACACAACTTATTTGCGTGGCTCAAATGGTCTTGACTGAATTGAGATGTGTTAGGACCCAACCGTGCATTTCAAAACAGGAAAACCAAAATAAGACAAGGCCATCACCTAAGGATTACTAAGTTGGGTTCATCCTTACACGACCAGGATGTGTGTGTCTGAGCACACACACGCACACATATATGTATTTTACGCTATGTCAAATCCAAAGTGATTTAATAAACACTTTGCTAAGTAAAGCTGTTCTTAGACTACAGTACAACCACATATTTCTAAGCTAGATTGGTCAGAATACATTCAGAATACTGAATCGATTCTAAATTGCTTATTTACCAAGGCTCAGCTTCTGCTTTGTAATACACAAAACCGAAAATCCTGTGTTTATTAGTGTCTTCTGAACAAAGATGTTCTGAAATTACTTTACGACCAAAGAAGAATTTAAGAGTTCTAGTCTTTTTTTTTTTTTTTTTAAAAAAAAAGCTTTCCTAGCTGTAAAATGTTAAAAATGATTACCTAAAAAGACATGTAAAAACTGCTTCATACTGAAACAGCTTCATCAGCCCTTCACCCTTCTGTATATTCAAAGATGTCCAAAAACCAGCCCCAAAGTATCCCAAACATCTGTATGCTAACCACCCAAATTAACAGAAAGACCTGGATTCCAGTCTTGGTTCCTCGAAAACACAAAAATCATCTCCATCATCCCAAATTTTGGCTGAACATTTCCTATTTCCACCAAGTTGAGACTTGTTTGAATGGCCTCTGCCACTTCCTCCTCTTCCGCTGCCTCCTCTCCCTCTTCCTCCTCCTCTGTTGGGCTTTCCTCTTTTTTTTTTGCTGAACTCATGTTCTGTGGCTGACGAAGGGGAAAAAAATAGCTCTTAGTTATGAAGATGGTTTAGCACATTGCAAATGTGGGCACACACTACATTATTTGTTTTTCCACGTGACAAGAGAAGGTACCCTCCAAAACTGCAGCTAATTATCCATATGTTGGTGTCTTTGTACACACCTGAAGCAAAGTACATTCTTTTAGAATACTGTTAAACGGATTCTGTGGTTTCAGAAAATAAAATACTCCTCACAGCTGTTCAGTCAAAACCTGCAGGATTTCTGGTAAAAGGATGAGCCTACCAGCAGTGCTGCTTAGCCTGGGAGCTCCAGTTCTGCCACTCTGATGGAATATTCTTGAACATGGGAGACCAAAGGACAAACCTTCAGCGGAACTTTCACAGCTGAAAGCAGCCTGTGCCCTGTCACTTTTCAACTCAGGAGTTTGCAGGGCTGAGAGTAAAAGCTTGAAAGGGAGCTAAAGCCAAAGATAAAGTTTGTTTCCACACTAACCTGCTCCTGACCCACCCCCTCCTGCAAGGAGCTGCCCAGATGGCTGAGTGCTCTGGGGAGCCTGGGCAGGCGAGCGATTAGGGACCTTTCTTGGAAAACAGAAGCCCTTCTCTCCTTCTCACAGCAGGATCTTCACCAGCTCTGACACGAGCCCATTAATTAAGCAGTTGTTGTCAGTGACAGAACGGCCTGACACTAACGCATGCCCCAGCATCATGCTCCTGCATAGAAATGGAAATTTGGAAAGCTATTGCAGGAACAGCTGAGAGGCCCTGGACAGTCTGGCAGGAGCTTATTACTTGGATCTTTGCACTGGCACCTCCAGAGCCAGGACGAGAACCCATGTGGCCATGCATAACACCCCAAACGAGAGCTTGGAGAGCGGCAACAGTCTGGGGCTCGGCCAAAAGCAAACTTCCCTTTTTGTGGCAGTTCTCCCGACCGGAGCTCCACCGGGACTGGACAGGATTTAACAGACAAGCTGACCCCACTCCGAGCTGCCTGGCATAAGTGAGGGAGGCGAAGAGGGTGAACCCCCTGCCTCGCTCACCACCCGGGGACCCCCAAACCTCCTCTCCTGGCCCTGTCCCTCCCTCACGGCAGGCTCCCCGTCCCCTCCTCCCGCCCT